TTTACAGTGAGTGACCAAATGGACAAAAAAATGACTCAAAAATGAAATCAAATTCCCAAACTGATGGAAATTTGTATTCTGAAGTCCCAAGTCTTGCATAGCACAAGAATCAGAAATGAAATGTTGTTTTTATAACAAGCACAAAATTCCCACTTAAGGTACAGAATCAATTAACGATATTTAAACTTAGGATCAAGTTTTTAGAATCAAGCCATGATTCCTACGGAATATGAAGTTTCATGATAGTATATAAAGACAAAAAAAAAAAAAAAAAAAAAAAAAAAAGGACACCCGAAAATCAAGTTCGAATTTTAATTTGATACTATTGCCTTTTTAATTATACAAAGATTCCCATGCAATTCTTTACACACAATGCAGGGGAAATTTTCAAAATTTCCACTTCTAGCTCAAAATTTCTAACAGCAATAAGAGCTCATCTTTTGAAAAATTTAATAGAAGAGGATGGGGAAAAAATAAAGAACTCTACTTTTAGTTTATAATAAAGCTGAACTTAAATCAAATTATTATTGCAAAGAGTCATATGAAACAGATAAATACAGAAGAAAAAAGTAAAGGGGAAACTCTGATCTAAAAGAACTTGTCAACTATACTGTGATTAAAGCATAAACCGAAAAGCCAGTAAACGGATAGCAGTGACGAATTTATAATTGAAAATAAAGTTAAAAAAAAAAAAAAAAAAAAAAAAAAAGAAGAAAGAAAGAGAGAGAAATTACCAAAAAAAAAGCATTATTAGTTGCTGAACAAAGAAATTTCATAAACTGATCGAGACAATATACTCAAATTTGTTAGGATAAAGCGCAAAATTATATTTAAAAATACCCATATGCTCTACAAAACCAGAAAGAATTTCCTAACCGGACAATTAACTAAAGTCAGAACTTCCATAACAACATCACAAGAGGTGAAAAATCAGAAAGCAAAATTGCAAATCATCAATAACTTCAAAAAGAGTTTTTAAAAGAAACAGAAATTACTAAAAAAGTTGGTTAAAAAAAAACACTTGGGACAAAATGGGAATAAGGATATGAATTCTTACAGGAAATGAATTGCCAACAGTCAACCCATCACCAGAACAGATCAAAGGGGAGACTTTATCCCAACTATCCATATGGGCATGCAAAACCTCACAATGCAAAGGCCAAGACTGCTTCTTGCTGTTATTACTGCTGTTATTACTGTCAAGGCTCTCCGTTTCTTGACTAACCGGCTCTGCGTCCTGAACACACATAGTTATAAGTTTTTGACCAAAGAAAGGAGAAAGCTTTAATTCTCTTTTGCAAGTCCTTATTGTTTGTGGGAATCCAAAGTCATAGAAGAAAGAAGAAAGAAGAAATAGAGGAAGAAAGAGAATCAGAGAAAAAGATTCCGCGAATATAATGAGATAGATTTGATGGGGCGCAGCAATGTTTATAGTTAGAAGGGGAGAGAGAAAGAGAGAGAACCGTTAAATTCCAGATTTTTCTAACAAAAAGCGTGGCTGAAAATCAATTGGTCGTGTTTTATTAATGTTCTGTTGATCTGATCTTTTTTTCTCTTTTTACTTCGCCAATGTTGGTGGATAAACTCGATATGCCTTCCTTTGGTCTTTTTTCTCATTTCTTTTTTGTTTTATAAAGAATTCATTTTTCTTAGTTCTTTTCAGGAATCTTAAGTCTTATTATTTTTTTCTACCCCTTTAAGTGTTTTTTTTATGATTTTAACACACCAATTAAGAAATAAATGAAAATTTTTTCAATTTTAACAAAAAAAATTATCCTTTTATCAATACTCGAAACAATTAATATGCATTTAGTGAAGATATTAAAAAATAAGGATAAAGTTTTAAAAAATAATTATTACTTTCTTGATATACAAAACGACAATTGTAGTGGAATAAAAAATAACTTTTAAAAGATATTATAGTGAAATTGAGGGAGTCCTTCCGTGTTACACTTTTTCTCTTGTTATTTAAAAAAATTTTAAAATTTTTTTCTCTTTATTTTCTATCTTTTGAAATCTGTATTGAGTAATTAATTATTTAAATAACGAAAAAAAAAGGCAATTTAATCAATTATTTTACTTTTTTTAAATTGATTTATTAATTTTTATGCAAATTGAAAAAATGACAAATGGAGAGAGTGTGAATGCATTAAATTTTCGTTCCCAAAAAGAAAGGAACTACCAACAACCATTTTGCATTAGTGTTATTAACTTATTAATTAAAGTCTTTGACTCTAATTAAAAAATTAATAAGAGAATTTCTCCTTCATTTCATTTCTAGATATTAATAATTATATTGTTGCATTAAGGAAAGTTCACCAATTTTCTCAAAACAAACGCAAGTTGATTTAATAATATTGGAAATATGGAAAACGTGTGAATATTTTAAAAGTATAATAACTATCATGCATTGAATATACATGGAGTTTGTGTACGTGGTCCAATGGCGTTTATGGATTATTGAAAAGGTACAACCGTTGGTTATTTTTCCTGTTTTTGTACAACAAAAAAATCTAAAACAGAAAAGGTCAATCTTTTATTTCCTTATTCCAGATAATTTCATTGCATGTAATATTATTTAATGAAAAAAATAAGAAATTTTAGAATTATGTCGCTCTAATTTCACGAATTAGGTAAACAAGAAAATTACAATTTAAGATAAAATTAATAAATTTGAATTTTATATTCCTTGCCAAAATGTTCACTTTCATCTATCTCAGTCATATGCTTAATAGAGTATAAAAAGAAGATCAAATTTTAAAGCAATGTTGAAGATTATTAATAAATTGTTTGGTCAAGTAATTTACCAAATTGTTTGATAAATATATATGTTGTTATGCTAATTGGAGCAATGAGTTAGGTTTAATTAATAAAGTAATAATTGCTATAAAAAGATTTGAAAATGAGAGTTTTAGGCAATTGATTGGGTTAGAGGAAATGTATATGAAAATGGAAGATGATGTAAGAAAGTGACTTAAGATTTCTCTTTTGCTTTCTAAAAAAGTTATCTTTTTAGTGAAATATCTTTTTTTTTCATATTTTATGGTCCACTGGGTCTTTCTAATTAGTGCCAAAAGGTCACTGACCTAAAGAAAGAGGTTCTTTTCTTTTCTTTTCTTGCGGTGTCATAATTGTCGTTTTTTGCAATGGAAAAAGCAAGGGGAATCAAAGCTGAAATGTAGAAAAATGTGTTATTTATGTAATTGGTTGTTCACCTACTAATTAAAAAAAAAAAAAACATTGATAAATTAGTATGTAAATATATATCGACTCTTAAAATAAATTTAGCTTTAACATAACTAAAATATGAATTAAAACTATATTTATAATTATGCCTAATTTCACTTATAATTTAGATTATTCAATTAATAATTATAAAAATATTTAAGAATAACTCAAAAGTTGAGAGTTTTAATATACGTATTTATGTGTTAAAAAATATTCAAAAAATAACCTCACGATTACACGCTTTTAATATATATTATATGCTACACTTTACTTTTTACATATATAAGAAAAAGAAATGAAATTTTACCTTTTAAACTTTATTCTTTTTTTTTTTTTTTTTTACGTATTTATGTGTTAAAAAATATTCAAAAATAACCTCACCGGCGATTACCACCGCTCCTTTAATATATATTAGTATGCTACACTTTACTTTTTACATATTATAAGAAAAGAAAATGAAATTTTACCTTTTAAAACTTTAATTCTTTTTTTTTTTTTTTTTGAGCTAATATATGAATTAGTTAGAAGAGAAATCCTAATTCCTTTACATTGAGACAATATCTGTAACCCCTAACTTGAAGATAAGTTTTTTTTTTTTTTTTTTGAGCTAATATATGAATATAGAAGAGAAATCCTAATTCCTTTTACATTGAGACAATAATCTGTAACCCCTAACTTGAAGATAAGTAGCAATTTCTATGGTCAAGATAAAGCCAAAGAAAGAGGCCGTTCATTAATTTACATTAATGGGGTAGGGCATCTTTCGTAGTTTGCTTAATTAGATGACCTTAAGAAAGCTCTTATCCACAATAAAAAAAAAAAAAAGCAGAAAGAACAATGAAAGATCTCTTGGTGGACAGACGTGGCATTACTATTGTATTATATTATCGCACTGAAATTGGGCACAATCCTGGTACTTTCCCACACAAATTCCTTCATCTGTCTGCACCAACAGCCATTAAATAAATCTATATCACCAAATATATTATCATCAACTTCTCCATCAAAAACCTTGACAATGTGCAAAAAGAAACCGAAACGCACATTTTTGACAAAAAGAAACTTTTTATTTTTTTAATTTACATTAGAATTAGACAATTACAATTATTTTGGGAAAAGACCAAACAAATTGCCATGAGTAAAATCCAATACCATATTTCCTACAAAGAAAAAAAAGAGAGAAATTTTCCATTTACTTTTAAGGACCATTCATGAAGGAAACAAATTTCTGACTGTTGGGAGAAATCCATAGTTTTACCATAATAGGCGATCAACTCCAAAATAGTAGATTAACAGCAATAATCATATCCAATATGTTACAAATTGATTTTATCAACCCAGGTAAATAAGGAAGCAAACATGATAGGGGAAAAACTTCCATGACTTGTGACTTCTGTACCAAACTAATGAAATTAAAGATTCCTTATTGAAACAAGGGTATTCGGTATTCTTGACCATAAACGGAATACATTTCAAAGAATCTTCAATTTCCAACACGGTAACACCAAATATTTCATGACGAAAAGCAAAAAATGAAGACCGCTATGATCACCACCACCATCCATGTCCCATGGACTATTGGGTCACTCCCTGTTCAAGCATACCCTACATATATTTTGAATACTATTCCTCCAGGAAAAAAAACACGAACGCTAAATCTAACTATTTATCGAGTTAAAATAAACATGAATTACTGAAAAATTCTAAGAACGAGAAACCTACTTCAAACCCCAGGCACTATTCATGTCCATTACCATCAGGACATATTATCATACCATACAAGAAAATAGAATAAAGCCTCTATTAACCATGTAAGTTCATCCATGATCCAATGATTACCAAACACACTGCATGAAGCAAAAAAAATTTTGCACTAAACCAAAAAAAAATATAAAACTAAAAATACAAGGGTATCTTCAACAATCCATCATTTAAGCAATAATCTGAAAGGGAGACAAAAAAAAGAGCATCTAACAATCCATGCAATGCCTAGATGCTGTTTAAGACTTTCGAAGTCTTCTCTCACATGAACATCCTAAAAAACATTTTGGGTTTCAAAGTTCACATGCCAGTGAAGGCCTTCTTCCCACCACCAGAAGATCCAGCTGGAATAACCTTAAGCACATTGAATCTCACAGTTTTAGACAAAGGCCTGTAAATTTCAACATTTTGAGAATTAGGGCTAGAACTGCAAACCACTGGTCAAATTAAATTATAGAGATAAATTCTGCTTTGAAAATAACCTGCATTGCCCAATGATAACATGATCTCCTTCTTTCACACGGAAGCATGGAGATATGTGTGCTGGAATATTTGAATGTCTCTTCTCATATCTGAAAAAAAAAGAGGCAAAAAAAAAAATTATTCTTCCATATGAATAATATAAGGAACAAAAATCATGCTAAAAATTGAAGTTGATGTATGCCTTTGGTATTTCTTGATAAAGTGAAGGTAATTCCGGCGAACAATAATTGTTCTTATCATCTTGGCACTGTGGCAAGTTCCAGCTAAGATACGACCCCTGACAGACACCGTTCCAGTGAAGGGACATTTCTTATCAATATAAGTTCCTGTATGAAACATTTCCAAGCATTGAATCAGCAAAATCACACACACACACACACACACACACACACACACACATATATATATATATATATATATACATTTCCAAGCATTTGACATCAGCAAAATCACAACACACACACACAACACACCACACACACCACACAATATACTATATATATTCTATATATTATAGAGAGAGAGGAGAGAGGAGAGAGAGTGATGTATAGATGGGGGGTACCAGTCTTTTCAGAACCATGGATGAGTGCGCAAGGGAGAAAAATACATGAGAAAAGGCAACAGATGAACTTTGGCACACGTTAAGGGAACCTTGTGCGGACTATGGCATCTGGCCATGGATAAGTAACATAATCCATTTCTTAAAGTATTTATGATTAGCCTATTGTCTTCATGGTTTAGTTAATGTTTAACAAAAATGACACACATATATATATATATATATATATAGAGAGAGAGAGAGAGAGAGAGAGATGTATAGATGGCAGTCTTTTCAGAACCGTGGATGAGTGCAAGGGAGAAAATATACATTAAGAAAAAGGCAAAGATGAATTTGGCACAAGTTAAGGGAACCTTGTGCACTATGCATCTGGCCATGGATAAGTAACATAATCCATTCTTAAAGTATTTAATGATTAGCCTATGTCTATGGTTTAGTTAATGTTAACAAAAATGTTCTTACTTCAAGGAGTTCCCAAATGCAATATCTAAATTCCTTCCAGTTGCATATATAATATATAAAAATGAAAAACTCACAGAACCATTCAGCTTTAGAAATTTGAGGTTGGATGCCAGGCTCACTATGACCACTTAACTCTACAATATCATTGCCAAAATCATTTGGCCTTTGACCTTTCGACGTAAAACACTCTTTAGTTCTAAACAGTGCAAACATATTGTTCACAAAATAAAGTAATGCAGCTACCAAAAATCTAAAATTGGTGTCATAAGAAAATTCTGATATATGGATCCGCATTAATTTTTTTAGCCCAGCGTAATTGATCTTCAAATAATTTATAAAAAGACAACACATGTTTAGTAAACCTATATCCCCAATGCGAGGTAGACAATGTAACAGAATTTAAATTGCAAAGTCCAATTGCACCACATTTGATCAATCTACCAGAAAGAAATAAAAGAACTTCCCCAAGTAGCTGCAGCAAAGACTGCACAATCAGGAATCATGCAATGCACATATACTAATGCTGGCCAATCAGGTATAAAAAATTTTGGGGTAAAGAGTAGAATAAAAATGTATCTGAATTAATCATAACTTGTATGAACCTTGCGCAGGTTGCCCCATAGATTCAAGGACCACCTAACAGATAATACCACGAAGACAGAGTCGTGATTCAAGATGAAAATTAAAAGTATGGCTTGAAAGGTATACAATTACCTTATATCTAAATGTACAGTGCACGACAAATTACATAATAGATGACATTATCATTACACTATAGGTATAACTAAATAGATAACAATAAAATTATAGCATAGGCACTATAGATGCATTCAACACTAGAGGCAAATGATATAAAAACTAGGGTTCAACTGCTAAAAATGCAAGCATCCAACATCCACAAGCACTAATACCCAAAAGTGGACAGATAAATGCAAATGGAAGCTAGTAAAGCACCTTCAATGGCTTCTCTAGGAGTCTTAAAACCCAATCCAATGCTTTTCCAGAAGCGGTTACCGCCCTTTCCAGGCCTCTTTCCCTTTCCAGATTTCTTCGAACTACAAAAATTATTTGCTAATACATAATTAAAATAACAAAACAAACAGAATCCACATTATTAAAAAAAAATGTTTCATTTGATCTGAGTTTTACCTCAGAAATACTTTGGGTTGTTTCAGAAACGCTTTCTCAGTCTGTAACAAAAAAAACAAACATAGATGAGAATAAGCCCCAAAAGAAAGCGTTTGAATAAGAAAATGAGGAGAGGGAAAGAAGGATTGGAAGAGAACCTGCTCCGCCATGATTGAGAGCTCTTTCTTGGGTAAGCTTTTGAAGCTGAGACGGCAGAGGGGGCGCGAGAAACAGAGAGAGAGCTTACCACTTGCTGAATGCAAAACCCTTAACCCTAGATTTCTTCATTATGTAATTGATCAAAATGGGCTTCTAATAGACTGGGGAATAGGCCTTGGGTTGGGCTTGTGTTTGGTCCGAAACCGAGCTTGTAATATATTCATTTGGGCTGTTGCCGAAAGAAATTTAGAAGAGACCAAGTTAAGTCTTGTTTTGTTTTTACGTTTTTGAAGGGGAACAAAAAGAAATGATTTTTTTACGGGTATAGACAGGATCGAAGAGGGGAAAAAAAAAATCTATCTTGTTCAATATTATTTATTTATTCAGTCAAAGAAGAAAGTAAGTTAATTCCCGCCATTTCCTCCCTAAAATACATTCTCTTTCTTCACGTGTATTGTATTATCACTTAAGTGTCAAATGTTATAACCTGTTAAGTATAATTAATTATGTCCTCGCCTAATGTGCGGAATATATAATTTTTTAAATCAAATTGAATGATAATTATAATTATATTGCTTATGTATTTTGATTAAAAGATGAAATATGATATTATATGTTTCTTTTAAAATTTTTAAGTAAAAAATTAAAATATTTATTAGCATAATAAGTTATTGTTTCGTTTGAAATTCTCATATATTTAATTAAATGCTCGTCTCAACTACAAGAATGTTTACCAATTTGATAAAAAAAAAAAAGAAAAGGCTAGCCTTATTGCATTGCTCACAATATTTTTTCATTCAACTCATTTGGCTGAAATATGATTAATATGCCTCACCAATACTTATTCTATATTTTAATATTATGGAGTATACTTTAATAGGTTGTGACATCCACATCCATGCTTATATATTTACATGGATAGAGATAGATGTTGGGTTAATTTAAAATACATTTCCTAATATTAAACGTAATGTTGACTCTCAAAAAATAAAATAAAAAAACAAAGAAAAAAAAAAAGTAATGTCGGATTTAATATTGAAAGCTGGAAAACAGCTAGCTCCCAGTGGACTGAATGATTATGTAATGGTTCAAAAGTACCAAATTGTAACCAGTCAATTATTGTGTTGCCATTCACCAAGGAATTTTTCCTTCAGATTTCAAATTTCTCTATTGATGAAATTGTATTTAGAAAAAAAAAAAAAAAAAATTGCCGCCCCTTCAGTTTCATAAGGATATTAAAAGAAAGGTCTGATTTTGGAGCTCGAGAAAAGGTAAAATCCAGAGCAAATCATACCATAAGCCAGACAACACCTTCATGAAACCTCACATCAGTAGCTCCAGATTTCCAGGATCATCCCTAAAGGACCAATACCAAGTCATTGACAATAAGGTGAACTTGTACATAAACCTCAGTAATTACCAATTAGATTGATAGAGTAGAGGTCTTACTGATGAAAAACATAAACTAGACAGGTAGATGATGAATCATTCCATATAAAACGCCCTTCAAAAAGTACCAGGACGTCAACAGGCCTATAAAAGATAGAATCCAGTGCAAAAGTAACAATCAACTGGAGATAATACAAGTTAAGAAAGAAAAACAACTATTTCTTCTGAAGACATTGGCTATGAACTTGAGAAATCTCACACCATGCTGTTTGCAATGGACAAAACGCAACAGATGTTTACCATTAGAACCGCTACATCATTCACAACCCTCCGCACTGATCAATCACAACCTTAACACCACGTCAATACTCTTTCATGTTATATCTCACTCTGTCTGCATTTAAGGGAAAAGTAAAAAATGAATGGTTTTTATATCTTGAGAAAAGGCTTGTAATTTTACTGCCTGCAACTAAAACAAATAACATTCCCTAAATGACAAAACCATCAGCATGAAAAATATTTACCATCTATCAAAAGAAAACAGAAAAAAAGACCCCCTTAATACCATATGCTGAGAACTAAACAAGCCAGGCATGAAAATTACAATGTGTCCCCAATAATTAGCAGTGTGCACATATTTCTAGATAAATTCTGGTCTAGTAACACTAGCAAGATGTTTTGCCTAAGATGTCATTACCATACACCCAGAATCACCGAAAGCAAATATCTTAAAATCCACCAAACAGAATCTTACTGGGGTAGAATCTAAAGTATAATGGAATTCATCAAGCATAATTCTGTGTCTTCACTAATAAGTTCTTAGGACATATGCGGAAAAATCATCCAAACTCTAATACATTGAGCGAAGAAAACAAAGGTGAGGTTGAAAAGGAGAAATGAGATTAACTTAGTTACCTTTTGGCGTTTTGCATTTGGGGGGCTGTGTTCAGTATCATTACGGCGACGAGATGCCCCACCTTCAGAGCTTTCAGCCTGCAAAACCATCACTTTTTTATCCTTGTGTTTATGAATAATTAGGTAGGCATAATAAAGCCTGAGCAACACATCTATAACTTCATGCGTGAGGTCTTATCATTACTTTATAGTCAGAGATGTCCAGAATTTGTAACGAGATGAGGTGTAAAAAGCAAGGAAAGGGCTTGTGCTGCAGTAAATTACCTGGGTGGATGAATCTTGAGCTCCCTGATTGCCAGAGGCACCTAAATCTCCCTGGGGAATAACATTTGGCTCTGCACCACCACGTTGAGATATGAATGGCATAATTTCATGAAGCAAATGAGACAAGAATATTCCTTCATCAGTAGCTCCTGATTGTGCTTCAACAGGAACAGTAGACGCCCCTGTATTCTCAGGGTTAGAACCATTAGCTGTTCCCTGCAAACCTCCATCCTCCACATGGATTTCCCCAACTGGAAGGAGGTTCCTCAGGAGCTGCAAAATGCTGTTCTGTCTCTCAGATTCAGAAGCGTTTTGTGTCCCACCAGCTGACAAAATATTGATATTTATACTACGAGTACTAGATGGCTCTTGTTGTCCTAAGTTGGAAGTTGGAAATGATCCCGGAAAGAAAGGAAAGGACAAGTGTTGGTCAGCCAATGGAGGAAAGTTGAATTAAACTCAATATGGTCCTATGGCATGCTTCAAAGTGTAAAACAAAGATATTCTATTCTGTTAATTTAAGCTATTAATCCTATGAAAGAACTAAGCAGCTGTAATACAAAACTTGGATAATTAATTAAGTAGCAGCCATAAGCAAAATCACCAACTCAGAACAAACAATAAAAAAAATAATAATGACATAGTTTAAATGTAAGATGACCAATAATAATCCATGTAAGCTGCCTGAGATTTCCACAAGAACAAATATCTATCAATTTCTACATGAAGTATGGGCTGAGAAATTATTGTAAATGCTGTATTAGTTATATTACCATCTCTTGTCTGATGTTCAGCATTTGGTTGTTGCACTGCAGGTTCAGAAGTTGACTGCTGCTCAGTTTGAACACCAGCAGGCTGATGCTCACCAGAAGCTTGAGATCCTCGTGCACCACCCACATGTCCAGAAGCTACATGTTGGAATCTTCCAAGAACAGGATAATATAACCCTATAGAATTGCTAGGAGAATCAGAAGGAAGGCGACTGAATGGACCAGGAACAGCTGCAACTCTAATTGGCACGACCCGCACTCCAGACTCTCCACCAAAAGATGAACCTTCTGCGACCCTTGATGCTGTTTGACTACCTAGATTTTCACTAGCGGAACCAGTTTCCAGGTTCCTCTGCACTGAGGGCTGCTGATTATCACTTCGATCCTCGCGATTATGATTGGGTGATGCTGTTGAAGAACCTTTGATGAAAACAATATTGGTTAATAAGTGGGTACATAATTTACATCAATGGATCCAAATTGTTGATTACAAAAGGTACATATTTGCACAGTACCTCTTCGAATTTGTATATCAATACGCCTTGGAAGAAATCCAGTACCAATGCCATTAACCAAACCAGATCCGGGCTGCACAGATCCCACAGGAATGGCACCAAAGCTTGCTCCCGGTTGAAATGGAAGAGGCTGTATTTAAAGGTGTCATCAGAATATATATATATATACTGAGAAGCATAAATAATTTAAAATAAATCTAGGAGATGTTAAGATAATAACCTGAACCATAAGAGGATTAGGACCAGATGGATTTATGAAAACAGCAGGACCAGCATTAACCACAGCTTCAGACTGTATAATGATGATCATGGCAACAAAAACAACTCAGGAGATGTCACCAAAAAACAGATAAGATGCCAAAGATGGAAAATTTAAGAAAACCCTACCGGTGCTTGACCTAGTCGAAGGGTCATTGTTGTACGTCCAAGTTCAAGTAGAAATGCACCTAAATTGTGAAGTTGAACTCCTGTCCTCCATGCACTAGACTGAGCGCTCAACCTTGCTGCAGAATCAGTAACATTTTCTTGACTCTCTAGTTGTCTTGCAAGATTCTGCAAGTATACAGAATAGAAAGGGGAAGTGGAGGTAGACAATGCAATTTAAGTTTGAGAAGGAATAAATGAAAAAAATGTCATCATACTTTCAACACCAAGATCATAAAGAGCAGAAAAATAAAAAGATTAAATTTATGATGAGCATGAAAACTATAATAAATAATCAGATTCCTATAACCTTCAGCAACTTAGTTTCAAGTGTAAAGATAATATACAATAGGCTACCTAAAATAAGGGAAAGTAAAATAAAGATAATGACAACATCTAAAGTAGGTAGACTGGCACTAAAGAACACACTTGTATGCATTCTGCAACTTGTTCATTGATAAATTGTCTGCTAGACAGCATCACTTCTGCCAAGGATGCAGGAGTTGGAAGCCTTTCTTGTGCAGTTGCTGATCTGGATGCAGAATTAGAGTCTCTTTGCTCAGTTCTCTGAATGGCTTCCGCTTCAGCACTGTTTTCACCATCTGTGCCTGCCATTATAATGCATCACAACCATATCAATGGATCAAGAATCAGGCATTAGAGAAGCAACTAAACATCAAATTATAGAATTCAACACTGGAGATAAAACTGACCAATGGCATTAAATTCACGCCTCATAAGACTCAGATATTGGGACATAGTTGCCAAAGAATCAGGAATAACCTACAATGACCGAGAATATTGCATAATATTTGAAACTTGAACAATAAATACATGCCATAAGAACCATTCCATAAACAAAAGAAACAAAATTGGGGGCAAAGGAAGGCGGAGGGATCCCAAACTTACAGGAGGATGCAGAGAACCCAACGAAACTGCTGTTGGAAGGCCAAAAGCACTTTGTAATCTATCAGACTGCACCCTGCTGCCAGCTTGTTCAGGTTGTGTCTGGGTTGTATCTGGTGTACCACTAGCAGCTGGTAATCTGTGTTGCCCACGCTCCTTCCAGATAATGCCAATGGAAAGAATCAGTATAAACATGTAAACTTGAGTTTATGAATGTACAAAGCCATTAAAAGAAAATTTTTAATTTTGCAAGGATAACACCTAAGAAGCATGCCACCAGCCTATGTTGCATGGAAACAGAAACGGAAACGGAAACGTAGAAGCATGGAACAGGACACAGGGAAACAGTATTTTTAAAAATATAAGAAATGGAAACGTGGGGAAAACGCATAAATATGAAAAATATAGGGTTATATTTATAAATATAAAAATATAAATTATTATAAACCATTAAATATATTCAACAATAAGTTAAGTCCAATCATCATTTAATCATATCCAAAAAAATTACAAGCTGCCAGCTTGTTCAGGTTGTGTCTGGGTTGTATCTGGCTGTACCAACTAGCAGCTGGGTAATCTGTGTTGCCCACGCTCCTTCCAGATTCTAATGCCAATGGAAAGAAATCAGTATAAACATGTTAACACTTGAGTTTAATGAATGTACAAAAGCCATTAAAAGAAAAATTTTTAATTTTGCCAGCGACTAACACCTAAGGAAGCATGCCAACAGCCTATGTTGCATTGGAAACAGAAACGGACAACCGCGGAAAACGTAGCAAGCATGGAAACAGTTGACAACAGGGAAACAGTATTTTTAAAAAATATAAGAAATTGGAAAACGTGGGGAAAACGCACTAAATATGAAAAAATATAGGGTTATATTTATAAATATAAAAATATTAAATTATTATAAACCATTTTAAATATATTCAAACAATAAGTTAAGTCCAATCATCATTTAATCATATCCCAAAAATTACAAGTTCCATACTCATAAAAAATACATGTTTTAATTGGAAATTTGCTATATTAATTTATGCATTTATTTTAATAAGTTGAAATGAGTTTTTTTTGAAAGTTTTCCAGTTTTAATGAAACGTTAATTTTTATTATAAACCATTAAATATATTCAACAATAAGTTAAGTCCAATCATCATTTAATCATATCCAAAAAAATTACAAGTTTCATACTCGTAAAAATACATGTTTTATGAATTTGTATTTATTTATGCATTTATTTTAATAAGTGAAATGAGTTTTTGAAAGTTTCCAGTTTAAGGAAACGTATTTAGAGAGAAGAAACGTGTTTCCAAATTACTCAATACAGAAACAGCCCTGAAAGGTTTCCGAGGAGTTTCCAAGTGCTTCCGTGCAGGAAACGTTTCCGAAACACAGAAACGGCAGCCAAAGGAAGTTTCCGTGCAACATAGCCACCAGCTCTTTGTCATATCTAAGGAAGCCTCAACTTTGGGCATCTCAACAAGTTATAATTGTAAATTCTTAGGATGTGTTAGACATTTTAATGCATACTGTTTGTAATATATTCATTTGCCCAGGTATGTATGCAAAGAGAGAAAAGGGAAGACAGATAGAGGATGCGAGTTAGGGAGGCAAATTTTCACTCTATCATACTATAAAATGTAATGTAATTTATTGTCCTGAGCTTCCAGAGTTCAAATTCAGACTTACCCTTCCAGCATCAATGCCTTCACCGCCACTTCCAATATTTGGAAATCCAAATGAACCAAGAACAGCAGAAACAATCTGTTTCAAAATGATGAGAAAGAATTATATACAAATTATAAAAACTGTACAGATGCAATATATATATATATATATATATATATTCTCCATTTGACAGCTAGTCATAGCCTCACCCTACTGATTTCTGGAGGAACTCCATCCCCTTGATCTGGCATACTGAAAGTTTCAATTACAACACTGGGACTCCCATGACCACGGCTTGTACTTGAAGCGGGTTCATTGGCTGCAGCATTGAAATCAAGTGGTTAATCTTTACTGCTATTAATGTGAATGCGCACATCACGGTGACTGACACATTTTACACACCAAGTTAAAGATCAAAGCCACAACAGTAAATTGTGAAAAGCCAGAATGACATCAGCGAAATGCTATAACGGCATTGACATCAAGCATCATCATTACTTGCCATTTGATGGTAATAGTTGAAGAAAAGAAATACAAAACAAATCAAACCTGGATGATTGGACAAGCCATCAGAAGATGGCAGAACAGGTTGCCTGACTACCAGATGCAAGGTATGCCCGTCTTCAACATCTAAACCATGTTAAGCAACAAGATTAAATGAACTGCTGAGTAAGGCACGACTGTGAGGAGGATAGTTCTTTTATGTCAACTACTAAATGGAATTTTCAGTAATTCTAGAATTTACCTCTTCTCATGTTGAATTAATACAGTTTTTTTTGTCACCATTTAGGCCTACGGATGGACTGGTGTAAAAAAGTAAATGGGTTCAACTAACAGGTGAGAAGGACAGAGATCCACATGACAAATTCCAACTAGTTTGAGACTACAACTATCATGTGTGTGTGTGTGTGCGCGCGCACAGAATTAACAAGCGTTTTAGTTAGGTCTGGTTTTTCTAATTACATGCACATGAAAACAGAGAAAGAGAGAACGCAATATTGGATTTTCCTATCATGTGACTTAAGTCTGCGTACTACTACTCCTTAAGCAAACCATATCTATCTTGGGCCCAAATTGAATATCTTTCCTTGAATTCTGCTAGAAGACTCATTAATAAATGACGATGATCATGATAAAAGTTAAACTCGCATGCCACAATAAATGATATACAGAATATTGTTTTGTTAGAGAAAAGAAAAAATTGCCAGCCTTATAGAAAGATAAAGGATACGATAGGCAGAAAGTAGTTGATCATCCTTTAAAACTTTTCCGCGGCATATTAAACGTTGTTGTTCTGACACCACGCCTGTGACAGAAGCGATCTGTTCTTTCAATGCAGGAACAGGCATCTGCAGGATACTCAAAAACAAAGGAAAGGATATGATGAAATTCAAAGCCTCCACAAAAAGGGTTCACATACAAGGCCTTCCTTATAAATTCTCACGTGCAAAACAAGTATTAAAGCTCTTACCATTATGGCAAGATCATAAATGGTGTCTCATGTTTAAGAAAGATCAAGAAACATGGGATAATCTATTTGCTGAGCTGCTTATAATATATGTTCTTCAATATTTTCTGTTGAGATATTAAATGAAGTCTTAGGTAATTGAGTTATGCCCCACTCATTTTTGAAATCAAGCTTGAAGAAAAAGTTGTTTAGATGAAGCACACAGATGGTAGAGATCGGGAAGTTTTTCCTCTTGCATGATGAATATTAGGGTTTTCAAAATACCAGGTTTTGTCTTACCATCCATCATGAGATCAGGTGGTTCTCTTGGATTCTTTTTTGGCTTGTGATATAGGGACTTCCACAGGAGTATCAAAGAAATATTCATAGTAATTAGAGGGTATTACATATTTATTATTTTTTTTTTTTCATTTTATGCATGGATTAGTTCAGAAGGATGCCCCACCCTCCAAGTTGTGAACTCCTTTGTTTCTTCATTAATAGAATTTCTTTTCTTATGAAAAGGGGGGAAATTACAGTTTCTTGTACACCAAAGATTCCTCAACCATTCTCAAAAGAATAGCTGCTGAAGAGACCATACTTATGATTGTAGTGGTTGTAGGAATTTTCGAATTCCTCCCTTGGTTAACTTTCTTTCTGAGGTTCATATTCTATACCCTTGTCTCCAAAAATCTAGCTGTGAGAAGTATTTTGTGTTCATGAAATAGCATAAATTATTGGAAAAGCCACAATATAGTGGGGAGCCAAAGCATTTACCTGTTTGTCCACTCTTAAAGTGTAGGTTTGAGAATCCAAAGTTTTTATTTTTATTTCAATTGTTGTCTCTGAACCTTCAGCCTCATCGGCCATAGGAATTTTCTGAGTACCATCATTTCCCATTCTCCTTAAAGCAACAAATGCCTGCATATAAAGAATGTAATATAGGAAGTTAGCTTTCTTTCTTCTTTTTTTTTTTTCCTCAGGTGGGAACATGCTAGGGTGAAGAGAAAAATAACATGTTTAGCAATTCCATTTGACATGATGAATGATACGGCTTACAAAAATGTTGTCTACAAAAAAGATACATAAAAAATAGAAAGCCTTCAGCATACTGGTACAGAAACAAGAAAGTGACTGAAACTAAGAAAACTTACAAAGTAAGCCACATTCATTCAAAAATTAAAACTCAGTAAGAAGTCACTTATGCATGGCCTTTATTATACAGATCCCCCATGAGTTCATTCTTAGGATGTATCTTAACAGGCTTTAAATATGTATAGGGACATTTGTCCAAGGGTTTAATTTGTCAAATTGTTATAAACAACATTAAGGCTTGTACTTTTTCATAAAATCATGACTGCATAAAAACCAATAAAAAAGGGTGATCCGATTTACTTTATGACAGCCATCATGTATTGTTTTTGAGGTATTATTTATATAGATATATAACAGAACATCAGTTAGCAGAAAATTTGCCAAAGAGGAGGGAAAAATTTTGGTCATTATCATGACGTCGTCAGATAAGGTTATAAATCAAACGCAAAAAATTTCTGTACAGTGAAACCCAGCATGGTTTCAAACATTGGCCGACTCATACACATCAGATTTTGAGCTCAGGATGAAGGCCAATAAAACTAGATATGCATTGGAATATGTAATTTCACCTGCATGGTACTCTTCACCAGTCAATAGCCAATATACTCTTATACATAGCCTTTCACAGCCATTGCGGCCGATATGGCCATTACAAATATTAGAAGGCCTCTTGAGAGTTCTTTGCATGGAAAATAGCTTCCTTTAGGCATAAGCAAATCATATTTCCTCTAGACAGTATACTCTATCACTTCCCTCCCTCATAGACTAAGATTCATCTCCACCTTCAATTTTAACAAGATTCTCATTTACTCACTAACTCTCAAGTTTGAGAGTACAACTAAAAGCATTTCGTAGAATAAGGTAAAAAAAAAAAAATTCGGTGGTAGCTGCCACATATCTAATTTATCTCGTGTACTTTATTCCAGAATTTAGTTATCCCAGGTCTTGGAAGTATTAATATGTAAGACACATAGTTATCTATAAGTGTCATGCTCCACCCTTTCTCTACAGCAACACATATGAGGTCAAGTTCCCACATAGACTCAGGTTTAGCTTAGCAGTAAGTTCATATCCAACTTGGATAAAGACCTAAGCATGAATCCCTCCCTTCCCCAGTATCAAAAAAAAAAGCCACCATGACACTTGCTTTCTTTAGTCTTATAAATTCTGGTTGCTATACAAAGTTCAAACATGATGAACACCAAAATCACAATCTTTGTGTTCATCCTCATTAGGAGCAGCAAAAAACCTCCAGCATGTACAACCATTTCACATCACATACAAAAACACTGCACACAGCAACATTTATTTCAACTTCTAATTCTGCAGAATTTGTAAGTCATAATTGTGGACAGAAACACATTTATGTGGACTTAGGGCCTACTGTCCAATTCCAAGCCACTTATAAGAGAAAACTACACCGTAATTTTGATATTTTATGCCTTTGTATTTGAAAGCCCTAATTCTCCATAGAAAAACAAAATGAAATTCAAAGCTAATAGTAAACTTAACTGAACAATTAAACCTAAAAGATTGAGATGCCAAAAAACAAAACAATAATTTTCATAACTATCTAAAGACTAAAGTTAACAACTTTAACCGAAGTTAAGGTTCAATAAGCATAATTCACCAGTACAAACAATAGAAACAGAAGACCCCAACATTTCTTAACCTTTAATCATTCTGCAAGAATCTAATCGTCAATCCCTCAAATGGCCCGGGAGACAACCATGTATTTCTAGCTGATATCATTTTAGGTCTCCCAAAATCACAATTGTACCAGACTAGCTAAAGAATTTAAGCTCACCTCACCAATCATCAGAAACAAAGAAAGCAAAACCAAATATCCAAGCTGAAAACCTAATTTAGAGAATGAAACCATTAAAGAGAATTCCAAAAAAAAAAAAATGAAGACATTCTATAAGCGCGCATAATAGTAACTTAAAACTGAAACAATCTTAAACCTAAAAGATTGAATGATGTCCAGAACAAACAAAACTAAATTAATTTCAATTAACTATCTTAAAGACTAAAAAGTTACCAATAACAACTTTAACACGAAGTTAAGGTTCAAATAAGCATCAATTCACCCAGTAACAACAATTAGTAAACAGAAGACCCCGCAACTATTTCTTAACCTTTAATCTTCTTGCAAGAGGATCTAATTCGTGCAATTCCCTCCAAATGGCCGGGAGACAAATCCAGTGTATTTCTCTGATATCATTCTTAGGTCTCCCAAAATTCACAATTGTCACCCAGACTAGCTAAAGATTTAGAGCGTCACCTCACCAATCATCAGAAAACAGAAGAACCCAAGCAAAAAACCAAATATCCAACGCTGAAAACCTAATTAGCAGAATGAAAACCATTAAAGAGGAATTCCAAAAAAAAAAAAAGGCAAATAAGTCGGACATACCTAAGCAAATAGTCGGAATTACCTGTGATTAGAAAAACAAATTCGCTTCAAGGAGATTTCGGAGACAGAGGAGGGAGAGAGTTATGCCGATAATGGTATGGATAGCGAAGAGATACGGAAATTTACTGTGCACCCTCTCTCCCTCTCCGTATTTGGCAGCTGAGAGCTGACACCTGATGATAAATGGCACTTACGTAGGACGAGGAGGGAAATGTTAATATGCTTCTCGACACCGTTTTCATCTACAAGGTGATTTTTGGATTTATAATTTAAGATTAAAAAATAATTATCTTTTATTAAGGGAAATAATTAATACTCGTTTATTGTAGCTAATTCATGTTTTAATAAATTAGTTTAGAATTCGGGATTGTCTTAATTATATTCCAACTGGTGGCTTACATGTAATGTGCACAGTTATAACTTATGATTTTTTTTTTTTATTCCTCCAAAAAAAAAATTATGATTTTTTATTAAATTGTTGAATGTTCTTAAATACAATATTATTAGTAATTTCTTATTATTGTAATTTTTCTACAATTTTGTTTTGATTTATTGCTCTGTTAGTCTACTATTTGTGCTTGTCGTTTTTTCACATGAAAAAAGTATATTTAAAACAAATATTAGGTGAATTCTTAGTATAAAACTTTAATTTTAAGAAGTTTCTTCCAATTATATTTATTTTAAAGTTACATTTAAATTTTTTTATAATATTTCAATCATAATTAAATTCAACTAATCAAAATTATATTATAAATGTTTTGGTTATAAATGTTTGGCATGTATTCAAAACTATAATTAATAACATTTATGTATTGTTCAAATCAATGATTAAGTTTTAATTGCATTTAAAGCTATTTAAGTGAATTGTAATTTATAAGTTATATTAAATAAAATATAAAATGCCAATTATGAAACTCTCATTAATAAAAAACATCTTTCCAGCTATATTTATAAATGTTTTTTAAATATATCATAAATTATATTTACCATTTAATCATTGTTTAATAAAGAGACTTATTCAGGAAAAATATTATTTAAATAATTTCAAAAAGATTTGAATTTAAAATGAGATATTTATTAATTATTAATTATTAATTATTAATGATTTCAAAATGATAAATATATTAATGATATATTGATTATTATTATTAATTTTATCGTAATTGATACATTTTAATTATTTTATAATTTTAGTTTATTTTCAATAATATTTATGATACTATTAACTCATGAATTAGTAAAAGCAACTGAAATGTTTTACTATTTATCAAAAACTAAAGTTGAAACATTTTCAAAGTATCAACATTATTTTTAATTCATTAATTACTAAAAATTATTAATGATATTAATTTCAATCCATCAATATCTATAAATGGTAATAAAAAATAAATTCTCTCAAATAAAATGAATTTTGACTAAACAAATAAATATTTTAGAATTTCGTCACGTCAGCAAAAATGGTTTAAATTTTATATATTTATTACATAGATAGATATAAATATTATAAGAAAAATAATTATATATATTAAATTTGATAATACAATAGGAGAAAACACATCACATTAAATAATTACATTTTATTTAAAATTTTTGTACTATTTAGTATAATTTATTTACTGGTTCATAATCCATAGATCTACACATTTAATGGATTCGATTAGATTAAAAAGTTATATATTCGTACACCCGTCGCGAGTACTTTAAATTAATAAGCTCGATTCAATTTTACATATGTGCAACCTAATGATTAAATCAAAATTTCAAATATTTTATATAGTTTGTAATTTAATATTTCAATTGCAGGATTTTTTTAATAAATTTAAACTTAAGAAATTGTTTTTTTTAGAAACAAAAATTGAAATTGTTAATCCTCAATGAATCACTGAGTAAAAAGATTGCTATTGATTGCATAAATTTAAATGGCATGTGATAAAACTTCTGTTTGTATAATGAATAAATAATAAATGACGGAGCTATATATAATATAAAAAAATAATTTATTTAAAATAATTTATAAGTAACAGAAATAAATAAAATGCTATAGCAGATGACGAAGTCTTTTATCTTCTTTTTTTTTTTTTTTTCTTTTTTTTTTTTTTGAGAGAATATTACACATAATTACATTTATAAATAATATAAGTATTTGATTTATATTTCTTAAATAACAAAATATAAAACACAATTGGTAATATCAAAGTTCAATATTTTAATTTTTAAATAATTGTTTAATTTAAACAAAATAATAAAGAAATTTAAAATCATTTCATGAATTATTTGCCCCCGTAACATTCGAGGGGAAAGTTAAATAAACTAATTTTCTTTATCTTTAGGTTGGGCCCTTGCAATTATATCAATATGAATATATAGAAGCCCATATCATTAAATTGGCAGTCTATGGGCTTAAATGGTAAAGTTGGGCCTTTTCCTGTGGCCCAATATACAAATTAAAAAATTAATAATATTTTGAAAAATATTTTATTAAATTATTTCTCTTTTGAGTTGCAATATACATTAAGCAAATTAAATAATCATACAAATATTTCCAATTTCATATTATTATTCTCTTTTGATTGCAATATAACATTAGCAAATTAAATAATCATACAAATATTTCCAATTTCAATAGGAGATTGATTCGAGAAATCCAAATCATAATACAAGACAAATTTATTATGACAGAGGGAGATAGCTCAAAACTGAAATTATTAGAAAATAATTATTTTTGGACAAATAAACCTCAGTTTATCTGTCGAACACTAAAATTAGCTGTACAGTATATACAATTTGTTTGACAGATGAAAGCCCTTTAAGGAATGGCAGGATCTTGTTATTAAAGAGATTACAGCTCAGGTTAAGATGGAATTAATATTTTCTAACACACTTAAAACCGATAATTCACTCTATTACATTCATTATTCATTACAAGAGTTACAACATTAATTATGAAATATTGAGAATGCATAAACTCAATAGTATCTGACAGGACACAATATTATGAAACTCCAAACTTGGACAAGAAAGAAATATTGTCGACAAAAAAATAGTAGCAATTGGTGGTAGTCAATTCTATATAGTAGAACCATACTCGACGCCAATATGGATTTATATACAAAATTGCAACTATTCCCAAAAATACTATGATGTAAGATACCACAAAACTCACATAGAAAACACCCATGTCGATGAAGCCATTTTCTTCTTTTTCATCCGTTGAAGTTGTTGGCATCAGTGGCGGAGATGTGGTTGTATCGCAAGGCTTTGGAAGAGGTAATCCACAGAGGAAAGAATTTCCCTCGTAACTGCCTTGTTCAAATGTTGCAAATTGTGCAACCCTCTCAGGTGTCTTGCCAGATAAATTGTTATGTGCTACACTAAAAACTGCTAATGAATATAATTGAGTAAGCTGAGAGGGGATTTTTCCTTCCAAATTATTGTAAGAAAGATTTAAACTCTCGATTTGCCTCGAATTTGAAAATGTTTGTGGAATTGGTCCAGTCAAAATGTTATGAGACAAATTCAGCACTTGGATTTCACTAAGATTTCCAATTTCAGGTGGAATCTCTCCTGAAAATCTGTTACAAGAGAAATCAATCCCTGAAAGATATAGGAGGGTTTTCCGTTGGTAAGAATAAGTTGCATTTTTATTTGTAAATTCTAAAGGTTGCATAGGTGGTGGGTCAGGAGATTGAGTTTCAAGTTCTCTAGACCAATCACTACTCAATATCAGACATGGGAGAATATGACCAGAAAGATTATTATGAGAAAAATCAACCAAGCTTAGTTCTAACCCACATAATTGAATTGGAAGTTCACCAATAAAATTATTATGACTTAACAAAATATAGCTCAACCTAGAAATGTTGACAATCCATGTTGGAATTTTTCCTATCAACTTATTAGGGCTTAAGTCTAACACCATCAAACTGGAACAATCACTAAAAACATTTCTGAAAGATCCTTGCAGCTTATTTTTTGACAAATGAATTTCTCTTAGGTAAGAATTAGGGCAATTGGATGATAAGCTTCCAGAGATACTATTGAGTGAAAGATCTAAAATTTCAAGAGAAGACATATTTCCTATCCATTTTGGGATATTTCCAAAGAGATGGTTATCACTGACATTAAATATTATCAACCTAGTACAGTTAGACAAACTATTTGGTATACTTGTGCTCAATCGATTACCATCCAAAAGTAATTTTTCCAAATATTCCAAGTTAGCACTCTCAGGAAATATTTGTCCTTGCAAAGAATTATCTGAAAGTATAAGTTCATTTAATGAGATACAAACCATGGTCAACTGCTCTGGTATACTCCCTGATAAATTATTGTCGGATAAGTCTAATTTTGTCAATAAGCTCATATTTCCAAATGAAGAGGGAATGTTTCCACTCAAACTATTTCTTCTCATGTTTAAATCTCTCAACTTTGGAAAATATATCTTTGGAAAATATATTCCCATTTTTTTTGGAAGGTACCCATACAAGCAATTATCAGAGACATCCAGTATTGATAAATTCAAAAGAGAATGAGTAGGTAATTGAAAAGACCCAGAAAGAGAATTATTGGCTAAATGAAGTTCCTCTAGTTTTGTATTATTCTCTAACAACCACTTTGGAAATTTCCCTTGAATTCTATTGTGTGAGAGATCGACTACTCGTAGGTTATACTGATGATAGAGGAACTTGGGAAGCTTTCCACTACCATATAAATGATAGCCAGATAATTTGAGAATGTCTAATTGAAACTTTGGAGTCAAATTATGATCATCCATTGTCACATATATTTTATTTTCTTGACAATCCAAATAATTGAGCTTTGAATGGTTGAAAAATGGAGAGAGCGAGATTGGGATTTGAAAGAGATTTCCAAAGAGGTTTAGGTATTTAAGGGATGTTAAACTCCGAAGAGGAGATAAAGCAACATCTCCTATAAAATTATTATAAGAGAGATCAAATAGTTTAAGGGATGTCAAATTTGCTAGACACCATGGCAAGCTACCATTGAAATTATTTCCTCCAAAATCTAGTTGCTGCAGATACTTTAATTCACAAAGACCTGAAAGTTATAAATTTATAATAAAAATAAAAGATTTTATTAGCTAAAATCTCCAACTTTCTGAAAGAGATGATGCAACATAGAGAGGGGATTTTCTTAAATATACCTCTGTCGGCAGGTATGGATCCAGTGAGTCTACAATTTAGCAAAGATAGAGTTTTAAGATTCCTCATCATTCCAATGCTTTGTAGATGAAACCCACTCTCGAAAATAGAAAAACTTAAGTCCAAATGCTCCAAATTTTTGAAATGAAGCAAGTCTATCAAAATACCAAAAAAGAAATAATTGAAATGCACAGAAGAGTAATTGCCAACAAGCTAATTTACAGTATAAATTAACTTAATTACCTTGACCAAATATAGTTGCATTGAAAATTTTGCAAAAGCTTAGAGATAGGGGAATTTCCCCAAGGATTCTACAAGATGGCTTCTTCCATCTATGGTGATAAAATCTAGAAAGAGACTTAAGTTGCTTAGACTTCTTTTATCTGCAAGTGAGAATAGAATCTATTTATGTCAATAATTACCAAAACACATATTAATCAAGATTGAAAGTGCACCTGGTAAGTCCACAAATTTTGTAATGTTGTTATTTTCACTCAAGTCCAGCTCCTCTAAGCTTTTTAAGGTTCGTAGTTCTAATTAGTAAAAAAAAAAAAAAAAAAAAAAAAAAAAAAAAAAAAAAAAAAAAAAAAAAGACTAATTAGATCATTTAATTATACACAATTTTCTATTCAAATTGTTTAAACTGAATCATAAAGAGAGGGAAAATAAACTTATTTAACCTTTGAAATTGAATGGTCCTTCGAATTGATTGCTTCCTATGTCCAGACTTTTGAGAGATGAGAGCCCTTTGAGGAATGATAGAATACTGTTATTAAAGAGATTTCCACCTAAGCTAAGGTGCTCCAGATTCCTCAACTTCAGCAATTCTTCATCACCTACATATATACAATATTTTTTGAACTTATTTAATTAAGCAATCAAAACAATTGCACACCAAGATGTAATGTAGTGGTAAGTGCATTTGAATTCTCTATAATAATTGCATGACCTGACAATAAATTCAAGTTCGAATCCCCTTTTCCAATACTCAAAAAAAGCAATCAACATAATTAATGAGTGCAATGAAAAATCAATTCGTATCATGCAAATATTTAAAGCCTTCAATTTGGTTGCCTCCCATATTCAACTCCTGTAAATTCTTCAAATTATTCAATTTTGCACATATACATATGATTTTTCCTTTGTTTAATAGTTGATACACAAAAATAGAATGAGTTAGCTATAAACACATATATGATGACTTAGCTAAAAATTTCAAATTGATTTTTCCAAAGAAAAAAAAATTTAAAAAGAGTGAAGTGAAAGCTGACCTTGAATATCAATAATTCCTTTGAGATTGTTGAATATCAATAATTCCTTTGAGATTGTTGCTATACAAATTTAAAAATTTTAAAGATGAAAGACCACCTAGACATTTTAGACTGATGCTGTTGAACATATTATAAGAGCATCTCCAATGTTAACGTGAATTGTGGCCGATGTGTCATATGAAATAGAATGTGTGAATAATGATGTGGTTGAATGTCTACTTATAGATAATGAATTTTAAAAAACTCTACCCAATACATTAGTTTTGAATTTTCTTTCATTCTCTTTTTTCTCTATTTTCTGGGCTCACAATTTGATATGCAACCAATCATCAAAGAACAATAAATGTTAACATTGTCTAAGAGACCTCTAGAAATAGAAGGTGTACCAGACAATGTCTATTAATTTTTTTTGACATATCAGCTCGACATCCTAAATAGATATTAGCATTGAAGAGAATTTTTCAAAAAGTTTTTCATTTTTCTGATGTGGCAATTAAATAAGAGCAATCCACGTTTGTATTGCAGATTCTCTAACTTAACTCAAGAATCTACAGATTGTTAAGTGTTGGTTGCTTTTCAAAACCTGAACAAAGAATTATAATTATGAGTAATATAATATAATAATCGTTATCTTCATTTAAAGCCGGCCTCGTTTATACTCGAGGGGTGAAATGAGATAGTAGAAATCCCTTCTCCCTTAACTAGATGTCTCGAGTTCGAACCCTGGATATAGAGTCCCTTTAAACACTTGGAGGGAGTGCTATGCCCCTTTTGTAGCCCGCGTGAACTCGAATGAGTCGAATCAGAAGATTTCAGATATCGGATGGCTAAAACTAGAAAAGCTAGCAAAAGCTAGCATCGTTTATTGATTTGCAAATGATTATAATTAATTGTATAATAAAATAAATAGATAGATACCTTTATTCTTGATCCATCCAGCTATGTTGTTGGAACCTAAATCGAGAACTTTCAATTTATGAAAGGGAAGAAATAAAGAAGCATTTAGATACCACTCTTCTGAATTAGAATCTTGTAAGCCGTCAAGATGGAGTTCATCAACTTCCCCAGTATTATGATTGCACTCAACACTTTCCCAATTACAGCAATTCTCAACACTTCCCCAAGCCGCCATGGGGCCAAGCCGCCATGGGGCTATTATCAGAATGTCTGAAGGAAGACTTGAGTTGCAAGAGAGCAATTTTCTCATGCTTCAAACAACCATTACAACTACTACTTTGTAATAATAAACTCGTAATCATCAGCAACATCCAACTCTTTCCAATCAACACCATTTTCATATTTGTGTAATGAATCGGATGTTCTTGATGCTTTTGTCTTTTATAGCGACATGGCAAATTAATTTAATGGACCAATGTTAGAAAATATATAATATAGAAGTATGATAAATAAGTGCGCATAGACCTACCCATCTTGTGGAAAATAAATTTTTGATTCAACGAACGAAGAACGTGCAAGACGGGATTGAAAGACTTCATGGAAGTGTTGACAATAATTAGCTTGAATTAGACGGCAAAGAAGAGGACCAAAATATTAGATATACAATAAATTTATGACATTGAACATGAAATTCATCATAATCACTAAAGAAATTAATGTCATCTTTTCATAAGAATAAAAAAAAATGATTAAAATACAATGATTTTTTAAAGATATATAGTAGAATGTCTAAATTGATTTTTTTTTAAATTAAAAGCTCTTCTTTTAATTTGGCTACAAAACACTTAATAAATATGGATAAAATTGAAAAAAAAAATAATATGCTCTCAAAATTCTAAATGAATACTTAAAATAGAACAAGGTAAAATACCATATTTATTGCTATTAAATTGGAACAGAAGAGTAACAAATAATGACATAATAAAAACTCTCATTTTTTGTTTGTCCCAAATTAGTTAATATGTTAAATCTTTATTTTTTTATATATATTTTCATAAGGAGGTCTAATAAGTTGGAATGATACTAAGGGCAACAGGGGATAACTCTCTCTTTAACTCACTAAATTAGTGAAAACTCTTATGGTCGAGATGACTCGATCTCGAAATTTCTTACGTAAATGAGAAGACCAACTAAACCACAATTGGTTGGCTTCCAATGCGATTATTGATTCACAATCACTTTGAAAATTGAAAATTGAAAATGTAAGTATTTACAAAGTTTAACTATTTTCGGTGCATATTCATGACCTTAGATAATTAATTAATTTTAATTAATGTAAAAAGTCAATAATAGTGTAAGAGTGAACAGAATAATATAAGGATATATTGATTTGTCAAAAATTACAATCATATCTATTTAATATCCTATTTATACGAGCTAACGCCTGTCTAATTACTATTATATCCTAACAATTATGTCATATCCAATGCACATAAAGAAGATTTAAAATCGAAAAATGAAAAGTTAAGGAAACTACTTGCTCGCCAGACTATTTGTAAGGCCGTACTGAATTTGGGTCATCAAGTGAACATTTTCTGAGCTCATTTTTCAACCCATGGTTCACCGCAATCTGGGCTGTCTTGGGCCATTGTGTACATGACCTGAGACCGAGAGACAACACGTGATCCCCACATGTAGCTGTAACTACTCATACAGTGCATTCAATAACTGAAACCTGGTAGACCCCTGAAACCTGGTAGACCCAGCCCAAAACACAAGAGAAAAAACGTTGCAGATTACCACTTCATTTCATTTAGCACAGATGGCCTAATCTTTTTCATGGACTCAGACTTGTATATCCAATTTGCCATTTTTCTTTTTCTCAAATATCCCTTCGTGTTTTTTTTTTTTTTTTTTTTTTTTTTTTTTTTTTTTTTTTTTTTTTTCGAGCAAGACCTTACAATTCTACGGAGAAGGCCTCGTAATATTTTAAAGTTTGTTCAACCATAGTTCATATATGCACACCTTTTCACTCTTGCAGTCATCCGATGTGAGGTTTCCCTATATTAATACATGCTATTAGCTTTTTCAATAACATAATTAACCATTATCATTTAATTTAATAAGGATTCTCTGTACAAATATACTTATGTTGTGTTCTATATAGAAGCCTAGTGGTAAGCTCCCATGGAATAGAAGTGTTCGTAACTCAATAATCAAAATCACAGTATATTAAAATAACTTCGCTAATGGAATATATAGTATGTACAAAAATCATTCCTAGCCCTAAAAAACTGCAGCATTTCTGTAATGCTGTTCAACTTTTTATCAGTGTTTTTTTATTATCCTACAACTTCCCTTTTCTTTTCTTTTCTCTCTCTAGAGCTGAAGAGTACATATTTTTATTTAATTAATTAGTTATGTATGGGAGGCTTTCTTTTTGCTGGAGAATAATCCATAATGTCCACATAGTTATCTTCGTGGGTCATCTTCTGTTGCTCAGAAGTTGGCGAAGATGAATTAATGGTGAACTTCTCATGTTCCCCACCTACTTCTCCATTTCCTGATCTTGATCCCTTTGGTATTTCTTGAACCCTTGGTATTGGTAAATGGTTGTTACTATCTGCTTTATTCCCATCCATTTCCTCTTTCTGTAACAATAACCAGATAATTATAGCTGGAGCTTTTGACATAAAAAAGGAGCAAGAAATGATTAGCCACCTCAAGTACTTCTTATGCTACCTCTCCCTAGGGTCAAACCTGAATTAAAGAAATTAAACTCTTTTTTTTTTTTTTTTTTTTTTTTTTTTTTTGTTTAAAAATAGAAAAATTTATTTTTTACTATATAGTAATTAGTAACCAACCTTAGTGGTGGTGGTGGTGGTGAAAATAGTAGATGTGGTCACAGTAGCAAGTTTTCTACTGCTCATTCCTGCAACAATAAATATCAAGAATCATTTAGACTATGCAAGAAATTAATATTTGAATTTCTTAATAAATTGATATTTTATTTTATTTTTCCTCAAGAAATTACTAATGATTAAAGAATTTGTAGTTTCATCAGTTTCTCTGGGGAAAATCTTGCTTTTGAGTTCAGTACATGGTCATGGGTTTAAATCTTTCTAAAACCCTACTGCAACTGCAGCTCCTATGTCAGAGACCAGCTTAAAAAAACGAACTACTAGTGATCAATTAATAATTAACCATATAATTAACCATTCTAGCTAGGTAAAGTAATGAAAAGCTAATTAATGGTGCTTAGGTTTATGAAGCCTAGGTCCATAATAATCTTCATGAACTCTTGGTAACCAATGAGGTGATGATTTCTTGGATACTTTAGTAACTCTTTTCTTCAAGGTACCTGTGCATTGTCCTTCTTTGCAGAGAATAACATCTCCAAAACCACCATTTTTGTTACTTCTTTCTATTAATGAAGTACTCTTCTTCTCCTCCTGCATAAATCAAGAATATTCATTTAATTTCGCATCAAAATTGGAAAAAAAAGATATTTATATTATATAAAGAAAACAGAAGCATGAACACTCACATGAATCTTTTGCTGCGCCACTTGCATAAATTCCTTTTCCAAGCGCCACTTGCATAAATTCCTTTTCCAAGCGAATTGCTACAGCAAAAGAATAAAACATGTTAGAAAGATTTATAAATTTTGCAAGTTCATAAGATAAATAAGTTTAGCAATCATGTATATATAAATATATATATACCTTTAGCCTCATGAAGAAGAAAGGACAAAAGAAGAAGAGAAACAACTAAAGAAGGCCTCATTTGGAGAAAAGATTTAGAGAAGAGGAGAGGAGAAAGATTGGTAAAGACAGG